GTTTAGACAATAGAAGTGGCAAGGACAGTAAAAATAATAAAAGAACAATATTTTATTATTGGGCAGATTAAGGTACTGACCAAGTAGCCACAAAGATGAGCTGACCTAACCTTTTAGCTATATTCTCCTGTCTGTGACAGGAGAAAAACCAGCAGGAGTAAGGTAGGAGGGACAGCCAGACACAAAAGAACAAAATCTAGCATCTGCCATTTAGTCTAGCAGTTTACATCCAAGTTACTTCAAAACAACTCTTATGATATTGCGAACCATAGGCTTTGGCAAATAATTAATCAGTTATGCCCCCTAACTATACAGCCTCCATTTCACAGCCTCCTGTAACACAAGTTTTATTTGGGAAAATAGGATTAAGGATATGGAATACTGTACGTCTTGGTTATGCTTGAATAATTCAAGCAGAAGCAAAGTTAAGATCCTTGAGGCATGTCAGCCAGAGTCCAGTAAGAAGACATATGACTCATTTAAAAGAGTGATTGAAAGAGTTAATGGAGTGGCTACATGGATATGGGCAGAGTGTATGGAAAATCACAAGGGATGGTGATGCATCTGGGTCTGTCAATAGCTAGAAAGGGCAATAATAAGGAAGGGAAAGAAGAAAACAAAAGAAAGGCCTTGAACGGGCAAGAAATGGGAGCAGTTATGGACAAGAACCACCTTGTGGGAGAGGCCACTCCATGCGAGCTGTAGCCTCTAGTAACACCAGTCTGTGCTTTCATAAGAGACTGGAGAAAAGAGAGTGAGTAATCCAACTTCTCTCTTCTGCTAACTTCTGATTTTATGCAGTGCCGCCCACTGCTCAAATCCTATCCAAGGCCACAGGACAAAGGGGCCAGGTTCATATAACTCAAAATTTTGAGCCTCCCAGAACTCAAAGGAGAGTGGGGATGAGTCAAGAGTATGAATAGGGAGATGTTGGTCAAGCAGAACAAAGTTTCAGTTATGCAAGATAAGTAAGCTTTAGACATCCAATGAATAGCAGTGTACAGTTAACAATACTGTAGTGTATACTTGAAATATGCTAAGAGGGTAGATCTTAAGTGTTTTTACCCCACCAAAAGCCAAAAAAAAAAAAAAAAAGAAAGAAAAAAAAGAGAAGGGAAAAAAGGAAGGAAGGGGGGGAGGGAGGGAGGGAATGAGGGAGGGAAGAAGAAAGAAGGAAGGATGGAAGGAAGGAGGGAAGGGTAACTGTAACGTGATGGATATGTTAATTAGCTTGATTATGGCGATTATTTCACAATGTTTGCATATATCAAATCATCAAATAGTACACCTTAAACATATATAATTTTAAATTGTCAATTATACCTCAGTAAAGCTAGAAAAATATAATGTTAAATAAAAAAGAAAGTTACGGAATGGTTTAAAAAAAAACTTATTGGGAGAGGTAGAGAAGAGTCAGCAGAAGACATACAATTTCTTGGGATTTTTAGGGGCATTAAGCTACTAAGATTTCTTTTCACTTCAGTTAGAACAATGCGTTCAATTCATTTATTATTCATTTATTCAACAGATATTTATTGAATGGCTTATTGGGGAATAGGCATCTCATTGTGAGCAAGTCACCATCCCTAACTTCAAAGATCTTAGTGGTGGGGTGGCAGGATGCATCAGGTAGAGAGGTAATGCTAAAATAGGGATCACCATAGTTTGCTAAGGAAGCAAGGTATGGTATCTGACCTTCCTGTTGAGTTCCAAAAGCTTCTTTGGGAAAGAATAATGTTGGGGGCTTCCTGAAGGAAGAGTGGGAGTGGGCGAGTAGAATAATTGGGGGCACACTGTTATTGAATGTCCAGTAAGAGAGGATGTGAGTTCCAGGATTATGTGAAGTTTTCATATGACCAGACTTAGGGACGAAGTGTGTGGGGCAGGGCATATGAGGTAGAGTGGGGAGAGACAGCTGGGCCCTGTTGCACCAGACCTTGACTGCGGAATTTGGATTCTGTCCTCAAAGCACTGGGGAGCTACTGTTGGTTTCTAGTAGGGAAATGACATTTCCAGATATGAAATCAGAGACAAAAATGACTAGTGGGAGAAACCAGTGATGGGAAAGACCAATTTGTATATGTTTTTAATGGTAAATTGAAACAAAACTTTCAAAAAGTTAAATTCCAAGTGAAGATCTGTTGAGCAAGCACCTTTCTTATCCATTTCCAAGAAAATGAGGACATGGTTTGGAAATTCCAGGCCAATTGAATTGAAGTGTTTTTGTATAGTTAGCTTAAATAACCAAATGATGACATCAATCCTTTAAATTGTCAGCAGAACAGCTGTTCAGAAAGCTCTTGTTAGTCATTGACCTTATGTTTAATATGATTTCCTAGAACGTGGATAGTCAGATTGAATAAAGTGCTGCATCAAAGCCCTCCCCACACAGCAAGATCTCTGCAATGGAAGAACCAAGGAAAGGAGAGTGGCTGGCACAGAGTGCAAAAGCCCTTTATTTCCTGCTCCCCAAATCCCCAGGGAAAAGGAAAAGAAGAAAGCACGCCACAGGCACATCTTAGAGAAAAAAGTCCTGGGACTACTAACAGCTCAGTCTCTTTCCTAATCATAATCCAGGGGGTAAAAAAAGAACAAGTTTATGACCTAAAAATCCTCCTTTGGTTTTCAGGATTTCATGGATTCTTATTCCATCTGTTTCCTTTCTGTATAACAGCTGCTTCATCTATTGCTATGTCACTAGAGGTGGGATGGGATATAATGAAAGATTAGATGGGAGAGTTGGAGTTTTGAGGGAAAATAGAGGATAAATATGGAGACTTGTTCTTAGAGTAAGAAACCAGTGTCTATAGTACTGAAGAGTTAGTTTTACCTTGAAAATAAAAAGCCACGTATAGAAGTGAAAAAGATGTTCTGTTTACCTACTTACCTACCTATCAATCATCTTTCTCTTTCTTACCCATTTATCATATATGTACTCTGCCGCTATCCTGCTGGCTTCCACTTACTATGAAAAGCGCACATGTAAAAAAGTTAAAGTAAAAATAAAGAATTTCACACACCATATAGTGTAAGAACAGGGTATAATTGTACTAACAGCATGGAAAAAGTAGTTCTGACAATGGAGTATTTAATTTAGCTTAAGCTTCAAGGCAAAATAAACAACCTCTGTAAGACTTATAAATTGTTATTGTTGATGAAGACAAGTGAAATATTGTTTCAGAAGGGGAAAATATCACCTCCTAGTAAATCCTAAAATTTTATTCTTTTATACGAGAGAAACTGTAACAAAACATACAGTGTCTTATAGAGCAGTTTTGCAGAAAATGCAGAATTATTCTTCGTGTGAGGTTTGTTATACCAGTATTGGATATAAAAGCAGGAGTATTTAATAAAAAGGAACTGAAGACCATGACCTGCTTTATCCATTATTCTTCTGAATAACACGTGTTTTAAGACACTGACAAAACAAAACAAAATAAACAAGAACTGCCCGGTTCTGAACTTTTATAGTTCCATGCCTCATCTAAGTTAGGGTTTTGTATATAGAAGCCCTAGGTTATGGCTCATACTGTCACTTCTGAGTTTGGATGCTTTCAACTGAAAGATAATAGAAATCTTAACCAAAAGTGCCTTAAGCAAATGAGAGAATTGGCTCATAAAGCTGACAAGTCTATCAGTATGCTGGTTTCCAGCTCTAGTTTGACCAAGATGTTCACAGCATCACTAGAGCATTGGTTCCTTAGCTGTTTTCCTTGGCTTTCATCCTTTCTGCTATGTTATCTTTTTCTTCCAGTTAGTAGCTCTTACCATAGCAAATATTTGCATTTGTTCCAGGGTTCTTCACACTTCAAGATCCTTATACTCTAGAATTCAGAGGGAAAAAAAAATAGAAATTCTTCTCTAGGTAACAAAAGTGCAGTTTAAACAATAAATATTGGTTGAGCAACGAATTACAAAATATAATGTTTAGTGAATTAAGCCAGACACAAAAGAATAGATAATTTTATATGAAGTTCTAGAATAAGCCAAATTAATCTATGATGATTGAAATCAGAACAGGAGAGGGGAATTAAAAGAGAAGAATTGGAAAGAAACTTTCTAGAGAGAGAAATGTTCTTTATTTCATTTTTGGGTGGTTGTTCTGCCAGTGTATGCATTTGTCAAAAGTATGTTTATGGTATGTGCATTTCATGCACTAAAAAGTAAAAGGCTAGGTACTAAAAGGTGAAGCTGGCTGATGTAAGGAGAATTGACTTAATATGGGAAACAGAGATAAGAGACTCAGAGTTCGCTTAGACCACACTGAGAAGCAGAGGTCAGTTCTGGATATATTTTGAAATTGAATCAACAAGATTAGCTGATTGTGTGTTGTGAGAGAAACAAAGGCGTAAAGCCTGATTCCTAGGTTTTATCTCTGCATATCTAGGTGAATAGTGATGCCATTTGCTAAAATGAGGAAAAAGTGGTGAAGAAGGAGTTTGGGGTGGGAGGGTGAAGGCAAGGAAATCAAGACTTTGGTTTTGAACCTGAGATGCCCATTGGACATGCATCTGGAGCTGTCAAGTAAGAAAGTAGTGTAGAAGGGAGGAGTTCAGAGGAGAGGTCAGGTGCAAATATAAATTTAAAGCCATAGGACTGGATAAGACCTCCTAAGGAGTGAGGATTGATAGGGAAGAGGACAGATGCTTAGGATAAACTCCTGGCATACTTTCAGAGGAGCTAAGATTTCATAGGAGTGAGGAGGATTTGGATGAATCGTGAGGGGAAGAAGGGGTCCCATACCTCCTTTAGACTGTGCTGGGTATAGCATGTGGGATAGAAATGACCGCCCCTTAAGCGGACTGCAGGAGAGATGGTGTGTTCAGGGACTCAGCCATATGTGTCATCAGCAAAGTCCTCTATATCCTAAAACTCTTTTTTAAATGGTTCTTTGATCTTCTTGCTTTAACAAAAACTTAGCTTTTCCCAGAGCAGTGAGGCAGGGTACAGTCCGAATAAGTTAAAGAGAATGTTCAAAGAGAGGATAGAGGATTTTGCTAATGACAGACTATGAATTTCAAGAGGCTCAGTGGAAAGCTCGGAGGAATTGGAGAGAGGTGGGTGACAGGGTCAAATTCTGGGATACACAATGCAGTAAAAAGTTAAAAAAAATGAGTAATGCGGGATGACCTAGGAGACTTGGAGTTCTGGTAGCTTAGAAGCATGTTGAGACTCGTCCTGATGGTCTCGTAGGGACAAATGTGTGTAATTGGGGCTTCCTCTTGGCACGTTAATAGTTTTTGTGAAGAGGCAAGTAGTGGCTTCTGTTATATCCCTGAACTAATCACTGTGGCCTGAAGAATGGGATTACAGAGACTATGGGTGCCTAAAATGCAGAGAAGGGA